AGGAAAATATGTTCAAAAAATAACTCTTTACGACACTAACTACACTTGAAAAAAGCTGAGTTGTCGCAATTTTCCTCTTTGCAGACCGACTTTTCCAGACTAAAGCAAATATCTTTGACTGCAAAAAACTAGTCAGGATGAGCCATTAAATAGCCGCTCGCATACCAAGCATAAAGAATCAGTATGAGAGAATAAAGTCAATACTGTCCCTTATTAAATTAAGCGCATGATCATACATGACTCGTCTAAAGAAACTAGGCTTCATTTTGGAAGCCCTCTTTCATGCAAGCTAGTGTCAGGCAAGCAAGCTTGATATGTGTGGTTAGGAGTCCTTGTCAGAGCTAAAAAAGTATGTCACATATGGCCACTATAAAATGCAGTTCACACAAAAAAAACTGTAAGTCTATATTTCATATCGTTGTGAAAAAATTGACATTGCATCGTATTCCAATATAAATCATAGCACTGTTAGAGAAGATATCAACTTCATATCTCAACAAGAAAGCCATAGAAACCCAAACCCTTTTGACGTTTATCTAGTCTCACTAAGGCATACGTATGGACAAAATATCACGTCAAAAGCGCAGCTTCCCTGGGAGTGTTCCCTCGTAAGAGCTCTCGCAACACTTTTTCCTTTCGAGCAGCATAAGGAACAAAACGAGTTTTTCATGAATCCGAAAAGTTTTCGCTTTCCGAAAAATAACAATTGTTTAATCGCAGTTACCTTAGACAAACTTCCTACTTTAGTCAATTTTTCCTTTGAAACAGCTTGATATAGAACGATTTTCGCCATCGCAGTCGATTGCCATAACGACAGTATTGAGAAATTTTCTTACATTAGACTCAAGTTCTCTTCTTTCAAATTTGCCGCAAAAAAGTCGAACTTTTTAAGAAGATTGCAAAAAGTTGTCGCTTCGCGAAAAATTATTACATTTTAGGTCAATACAGAAAGATTAAGATTAGATCCGAGATGATAAAAATTTTGAGTTCCTCGACCTTGACTGCCTAGGAGCCCCCCCCCCCCCAATCCTGAGGTCCTCGCGCGGGGCCTGCTTGTAATTGCTGTACTTGTACTCGTCCAATGACTGGTACTCTATTTATATAGTTATTTTACCGATGGCTCTTCTGGAAACACTGTGGGGGGGTAAAGGATTAAAAGAGGTATTAAAATATAAAAAGGTTCAATATTCATGCAAAACTCGTTATTAAACACTAACTTCCGATATAAACAGAGAAACACTCTAATCAACACATTGCTAGAGACAAATTATATATTCTAAGCGTCTGTTTTCCCTAAAGTCTCGATGTTATTTTACAAGTTTTTTCGGCTAATGGCATACGAAAACTGATTATAGTTCTCTTAGTGACTGAGAATTAGACATAATTGTTTTCCAGTCAATATTAGCTAATAATTTCAAAATCAATAATGATAATAGTTCAGCAAAACGAACATGACTTATGATAATGTAATGCTGTAATTTCTTGTGATCTATTTGTTGTTTGACAGTTATTCTAAGATACGGTTAGAATGCGATCAGCAGAATTAACATTGTTATTTATGTATTACTGAAAATATAATTTTTCGTTATCATAATTGATTTTTATATCTTAAAAAGAAAATCAGAATACAGAACATGGAAAACTAAAAATAAAAAAGTTTATCCATAATGTTCCTATTACAGTTTACATATTGTACTATCGCGTCCGTATAGAATCCAGAAACGAATAAAATATTTTGGACTGCTGTAAAATATGAACTTTTTATCTGATTCGCTTATAACTTTTAACAGAAGTAAGCGTATAGACTTTGGTTCACATGTTTGGTTCACTTCTGTGGACCTAGCTTATTCTAACCCTGTTCATATATACATATCATTCAAGTACGACAACAGCGTGTGCGAAAACGCTGTCAACATTTTTTTTTTGCTTCTTTTTCTTCTTCTCTCTAATATGCAATGATATAGACCAATAAACTCTTCCGTTTCTCCGCATATGTATGGCACATAAACAAAAAAAAAAAACAAAAGTTTCAGCAATCGAATGAGTGCGCTCTCTTTTTTTCTCTCATGCTCATTGAACCAAAAGAAAAACGAACCAAATTTTTTATCCGAACGTTTGCCAAAATCGACACTGGAAATAAGGAATTGTCTCAATATTTTTGCAAATGAATGTTGTTCATATGTTTTCTTAGTCATGAAATTTAATTTTCTCTACTTTGAGCATGAATAATTTTAATTTAGAGAAAAAATGTAATTGAAATTTGAAAAATTGTCAAAAAGACGTGAAATTCTCCAGCTTTTATGCACTTTGTTGGTGACACGAGAGTGACACTGAAGTTATAACTCGTGCATTTAGTAGAGTACGTCAAAATCGATCTGAAGAGATGTATCTCATACTTGGAGAGTACTCCTGGGCGACTCGTGACGGCCAGAATTTTAAAAATGAACTAATTAAGTACTAATTAACGATTTTCCGGGTCACTGAATACTCGGACAAGATCAAAAA